CCCCCTCCATTTTGAAAGACAATTTTGCTGGATACATCAGTCTAGGTTGGAGGTTGTTCTCTTTTAGTACTTGAAATATCTCATTCCAGGCTCTCCTTGCCCCAAGGGTTTGTGTTGAAAAGTCTGCTGTGATTCTGATAGGCTTTCCTTTGTATGTGATTTGTTTCTTTTCTCTTACTGCTTGTAGTATTTTGTTCTTCTGTTGGGTTTCTGGGATCTTGATTATTATATGTCTAGGTGTAGATTTTTTTTAATTGCAGCTAGTTGGGGTCCTATATGCCTCAGTTATCTGAATATTAAATTCTTCCCCTCTGTTTGGGAAGTTTTCTGTCATTAATTCTGCAAACAGCTTTTTAAAGTCATTTGTATTTTCTCCTGCTACTTCATGTATTCCTATCAGTCTTATGTTATTCTTCTTTGCATCATCTAGGAGTTGCTGGATCAATTTCTCATGATCTCTTACTGTTTTTAAGAGACCTCTCTTTTCATGGTCACTGACTGTAATCTTATCTTCTATATCTGAGAGCCTATCTTCGCATCCTTTTATTCTGTTGCGTACACTTTCAATAGAGTGTTTAATCTCCTGGATATCTGTTTGAATCTGTTTTATGGATTCCATTTCTTTCCTATGTTGGGCATTTATTTTTTCCATTTCTTTCTCATGCTAGGCCTTCATGGCTTCTATCATGGTCCTGAGCTTATCTACTTTTTTTTGTCAGTTTCTGCTCTAGAGTCTCAAATCACAACTTCCATTTTGCTCACTATCTCTATGGTTATCTGGGAAATTATTTGTTTTGAATTTTTCCAGAGCCTGAATGATCTGTTTTGTTACTTCCTGTGCTTTGAGTTCAGGGTGTCCTGGTGGTTCACTATCAGCCTTTTCATCCTCATTTGCCCTACTGTTTGCCATTGGTGAACTGGAAGTCCGTCCTTGTGTCTTGCTTAAGTGTTTTCTCATTTTAATTTTTGTTGGCTGACTGTCCTTGGTTTAATCTCTGGATTATCACCCAAATCTTCCTGATATAGTTGTGCCCTAGCTTCTGTGTCTCTAACGACCCACAGACATTCTCATCTTCATAACATCAAAGAAAACAGCTCATCAAATCAACAGCAATGCTTTACCCCAACTGATACAATCAACAACACATTAAGATCAAGCACAACTTGGACCCTGACTGCCTGTGGTAGTCATTAGTCTATCACCCTTAAATCATTTGAATTAAATTGAAATCAAGGAGCAGTCCAGAACATGTCTGCAGTGGACAAAATTTCAATATAGTGTATTTACCATTTAATGGCTCAGACAGAGTGAGGATGCAAGACCCCTGATCTCAGTTAGCTGATGGCTGAACCCCCTTGACGCTGACTGACCTCGGGCTGCAAGGCCCAGATTGAGTTCCCCATCCTTCTGAATGGTTGAACTCCACACTGTTCTACTACAGGTTTCCCATGCTCTTTCTTTAAAGATGTTCAAAGTTGGGAACTCAGAAAAATACCCTTTATGACCACCTCTGTCTTTGCAGAGTGGGTCCAAAGACTGGCACAGTCAGGAGGTCTGAGAGTGCAGGGAGTGGGGGGGCTTATGGGGGTTCAGGGGCGCCCACGCGGCTACCTTCCCTGCACTTGAGCGATGGTGGCTGGGTCGGGAGCAGGCGTGGCTCTCCTTCCCGCGGTGGATCGGGGCCCAGGCTGCCTCCCGGCGCTTGAGCTATGGCTCAAGTTTATTTCTTAAAAAGGAATAAGTTAAAACTTACTAACATAGACTGATTTTTAGAACTCCCAGGAACATGTAATAACCTCTTCTTCCCAGAAATTTCATACAGGCTTCCTTGTCTCCCGACCTCTGCCTGAGCACCTGCTGTTTAAATGTCGCTTATCTGCTAATCCCTGGGTATGGCTCTGGGAGAAAGAGAAAATGACTTAAATTTAGAAGCCTCTTCTGCTTGGCCTGGAGCCTTGACTTACATTCACTGTAGATGTGGTACAGATCCAAACCTCAGCTCAGTTTCTGAGTGTTTAGGAGACTCCCCCAGCTGTCCTTAGGCTGAAGCGCACGCCATGGTAACCTTTGTGTGCTCAGCATGGTCTCTGAGACGTGAACGGATTGTGCAGGCAGGTTGTGCCCTCCCGAGCTGCTCCCAGACTGCCTGCCTCTGGGCCCCAGCAGCCACTGCGCTATTCCTACACCACACTGCACTCTGGGCCTGGGGAGCCCAGTAGATTGGACACATCCCCTCCAAGGTGACAGTGATGGCTACCCTTCCCTGCACACAGCTTCCTTTCTTTGTTATTGTGGGACGTTTCACCCGTCTGTGTGGTCTTAATAGGTTTTAGGATGTTCTCTTCTCAAACTCACCTACAACCTTTCATCTACATCCCTCTTTACTGTTTGCTCAGCCATACAATCGCACTGTTTGAAGCCTGGGTCTACTCCTAGTTTTCACAGCGAGGGTACCACACAGAATCATGAGCAGGGGCTATGTTCTGGACTCTGCTCCTATGAGTGGAGTGACACTGGGCAGGCCATCTTGGAACTCAGCCTCCACCAGCCCATCTCAGAGTGAAGGGCTGGAAGTCAACAATCTCAGCTTTGAATCAGCAGCGGCTATGACACCTTTCTGGCTTTCTTTATCATGATCTATATAAAAGGGACTAGCAGAGATCAATTAATGTCCATTTCATTTTTCAGCAGTGACTGGTACTGGGGTATAGAGGTGAGAAGACAGTGCCTCTATGGGACAGAGTGAGGCAGGTGGTAAAGGGACAGGAGTGGCAGGATTATGGAAGGAACTGGCAAGTGACACACAGAGAGGCAGCAGAATGGAAGTAAAATAAAAAAGTTTACTTCATCGATGGGGATCGATGACACCTAATGGTGGTGCTCTAATAGACTCCCCCATTGGGTTACAATTCCTTCTTTTATAGGATTTTACAGCCTTGATCTCATTCAGTTGGTTACATTGCATTTTCACAGCTCACACTGCTGATACCCAAAACATGGTGGCCAGGCAGTTCAGTTGAATTTCAACCCAGATGCAGTTCTTTGTCAGGAAAAGTTACCTTTAGGATTTATTCAGTTAACCTATTCTAGCCGGGGGGGGGGGGGTTTGGTCAACAAAGCTAACAATGGTTCTTTTCACTTTTGGGGAGACTGGGGTACCGTTAATCCTGAACTAAGCAGAGTGATGGGCAGAAGTTACCTTATATTGTGACATTTCCTAAGTTTTCGCTATTAAAGTTTTCCCAGCAGCTATGGTGAGTGCTGGGTAGGAGTGCAGCCCAGTGCCTTGGTGAACAGCGGATGAGTAGTGACTATGGAAGGGGGCATCTCCTAGAAGAAGATAGGTGGACTCTGACCTATGACCTCAAGGGGCCCTTCCAGGAACTACAAATACAAGGGAAAGCGAGTGCCAAAGCCACAGGAGTGTTTGAGGGACAAAAAGCAGGTAGGGAAGGTAAAAGAAGGTGGGGGAAGCAGAGGCCAGGTCATGGAAAGCCACGTAGATCCTGGTAGTTGAATCCACTGAAGGGCTGTAGGCAGAGAAGTGGCTGAGGGGCATCTGTGCCGGGCTGTGTAGGGTGTGAGTGCAGGCAGTGAGACCAGTGAGGTGCTACAGAGCAGTCTGGGGCATGGAGAGTGTGGGCTATAACTCCACGTTGTGTTTGGAAGGTGGATCTGACAGGACTTTTCTGCAGCCAGTCCACTCTGAAGGCACCCGGTTTTATCCGCTCTCAGAAGCTACGCAGGGATGGACCTGCCTAGAGCTCAGACAGGAAACCTGGCAGACTTGCAAGGAAGGAAGGGAGGAGGCCATGCAGCATCACCCTTGGGCATTAGGATGAAGGCAGGGAGTCACTGCGTATGCCACAGAGCCAGTATTAGCAGACCCCAAGTCAGAAACACTCAACCCAGCAGACTTTCCCGACTGTTTCCTCATGTGTCTCTGCTCATCTCGTAGACGTTAGTTAAAACAGCTTAGTTTTCCACCTGGCGCGCATTTACTGATTGTCCACCACCCTTCAGGGGCAATTTTTAAAGTACCATGGCTATTTGGTCAATTTTAGTATAGTTGCTTTAAACAGCTTACATCGGTGCCTACTTAATCAGTAATCTAAGCTACTTGTGAAATGAACTCTATTCTTAGCCTTGGCCAGCTGTTTGTGACAAATGAAGATGCCTTAGCTGAGTGCCAGCTGTGAGCAAATCACGTTGGTTCTCAATTTGTAGTATTCTAGAAATCCACAGGAGATGGGTTAAGGCTTGGAAATGTCCTGTCCCTGTCTAACTCTGTCCAGCTGTGTAGCTCAGCTCTCTCAACTGGGTATTGCATTTGTTAGAGAGGAAAGGCACAGTAGACTCGAAGCCCTCTCCTGGCTTCTGTCAGGGTGCTAATTAGTAGGGATGTGCTCAGATTGTCTCTGATCAGCTCCCCAGAGCCAATTACCCTCCCTGCTGCTTTGGCAGGCCCTGAGTCTGAGTTCTCTCCATGTGGTGTTTTTTGAAATCTGAAGCTGAGATCACACTTACTAAGGCTCCAGTTATAGCGACTGTAGCAAAATTAAATGAGATCCTTTGTTACTGAAGCAAAAAAAGAAAAAAAGCAAAGCCTATTACTCAGGCTTGAATTTGAAAAGAACTCCACCGTTTCTAACAATATTGGCTGCAAAACTCACAAATGTGGTTGTTTTATTCCACACACAAACCCAGATGTATTCAACTGTACAAATACTGCTGATCCATTAGGATTATGCCTTTGAGATTTTTCAGACAAAGGTGCAAAGGCTTGAGGTTGACTCAGATCTGAATGGCAAAGCCTCACCTAGATTTTGAACACACTTACCTGCCATTTGCAGGCATTTCAGTTCATTTGCAGAAAGGACTCAGGGGTCATTGCTGTGACCTTGGAAAGGTGTCTCCTCTCATCATGTGAGCAGCTCACAATGCTTCCTCACACCCAGATCTCACCCTCCAACACTCCCAAAATATTAGCTGCAATAACCACAGTAATGTGGTCTCAGTAAGTGCCTTTGCTTGCTGCTAAGGACCCAAGAGGAGGAACAAAGCACCACTACACCCTGCGACCAGCAGCTGGAGCCAGGCAAGGGCTGATGGAGCAGCAGCCATTCCAGAACCAGGCCTCCTCCTCCCAGCTGATCTGCTCTCATTCCAGTCATTATAAGAAGTTCCAGAAGGCAGAGGGAAGGAGGGCCCCTTGCCCTACACTGGACAGGAAGGGGATCTTCTTAAAGGAAGCCTAGTTTTCTAATATTAATGTGCTTTCTAGCTCCATTTTCTAATATTTGTGAGTTCTGAGATGATGGAGGACTATCGGTCTTGATATAAAGCTAACACATTCTGTGCACCTTCCCACACTAGACTTCATGGCACCTCATCCTCTCTTCTGACCTTCCCCTGCTCTCTGGAGTGGTGATACACAGAGCACAAAGCTTTTCTGAGAATATGACATCTGAACTGAACAATGAGTAACAAGGAGCATTTATGCCGAAAGGAGCACTGGAAGCAGAGGAAACAGCAACCACCATTCCTGGGGTCTTCCTGTTTTTTGGGAGGGCAACCAGAAAGACAGTCCTGATGAACTTCCATGTTCAACTGAACTCAAGGGACACTCAGTGTTTGGTGTCAATGTAAAGACCAAACAAGTCTCCTGGAGAAGGAACTTTTCCAGAAATGCAAACATGTTTCAGTCATCAACATATAGCTTTCTGTACATATTGGTGATTTATGGATTTAATTTTTTTATCATGACACACCAATGTTTTGACATCCCACTCCTCAATGGCTAGCTATATTCATCATGTGGTTTCTACAGACAAGTTAAAACAGTCTGGATGGCACCTAAAGTGTTCTGGGTTAGGGTCAGGATGGCAAACTGATCAATTTGTAAAAAAATCATGTGAATATGTGTGTCAGAATTTTTTGTGGTGTGTATTTGCAGGAATAAATTCTATATGCATGTGCAAATATAGATTTGAAAATAATGTAAACCAAAATATCCAGATTTGGACTTTTCAAATGTGTTTTGTGGTGTAGGATGATAGGATGTTTACCTTACAGAGTGACTATTTGATGAGGGACATATTAATCTTTTAAAAATTCATCAATACTTTCCTCATATATCCTATAGGGCAAAAAGTAACCACCAATGCTTATGAAATGGTGTAGGATTAGTCAGGAGCATTAGATACTTAGGAAAAACCTTGGAGTTGGGCCTTCTTGGTTTGGTCTCTCTTAATGTACCTTGAGAATTTAGATTCTGTTCTTTGTGTGACAGTCAATCCATTGAGAGGACTATTAACTTGAACTTGATATTTAGATTTTATTTGCAAAGCAAATGTCTTAGTTACTTTTCTCATTACTGAGACAAAATACCCGACTTCCAAAGTTAAAGGAGAAAAATTTTTTTGGTTCACACTTTGTAGAGGTTTCAGTTCATAGTTGTCTGGCTCCAAGAGAGGATGGCATGGCAGAGGGGCATCACAGAGGAGAAACAGTTCATGGTGGGTAGAAGGCAGCAAAGCAGCAAGCAGCAAGTGACAACAGCATCCCTCTTTCTGCCCCTTATATTCTATCCAGGCTTCATGCCCTTACGGCAGGTAGCACTCATACCCAGAGTGGGGCTTCCATTATCGACTCCCATAACTATGCTAAACCAATCAATAGATCAATTTAGTACCACACATCCTTAATCCCATCATCACCCACTCTGATCCAGCCACTACTGAAAAGCCCCACCTATGACCTCATGAGGCTTTAAGGGTGTACCTAGACCCAAGCCACAATAGCAAAAAAGATGAAAAAGAGGCTTGAATAGTATATATATATATATATATACCCAATTTTTAAAAAATACATTTAGATTTCACCAGACTCTTCAAAATTATCCTTAAGCTCAAATTCAGGTAAATAGAGCAAATGCTAGGCCAGGAATTTAGCTCAGTTGTTCCACTACCTGCTTTGCAAACACAAGGTCCTGAGTT